CGAGTGTATCCTTAGTATTTGAATTGAAACGTGTTAATTAACTGCGACGAACCTGAAGGTATATTCATTTTCACAGTTTTTTATTTTTTATTTTTATTTTTTTATATCTGTGAGAGTGAACATTGAATATAATTAAACGCATATCGTGTAATTTAGTTGATTGCGGGCTTCGAGTCGGTTTTATGTGATAACAATGAACTATGCCCAACTCAGTTACGACATTTCTGCCATACAATGTGCCATTCAAATAAGATTCAATAATTGTTTTATTCATAAAACTAGATGATTATCAACTGATAATCGATCGCGTGCATTACGAAATGCATTTGAATAATGAATCAATATCAATGCGAAATCTCAATGATTACAAGTGTTCGGAGCCAAGATATTTCATATGTGACTGACAACTCGTAAGGCTGACAAATTGTTAAGTTTTGCCAGCTTCATATATATATATATATATAGTATATATCGAAATAGTATATATAGTATATATCCAAGCTGATCTGTTGTGTATTTGCGCGGAGTTTAACATATGCATAATTAATTAAGAACTTGACCAGGCTCTGCTAGATGGTATAACAAATTGGTAACCCCTTGAAGTATATATATATATATTCCTGATCAATATCAGCTGCCTGGCCGTTATAGATCTCTGCTTCTGTGTATTTCATGCCAAAGAGTCTGTCATTCTTGAAACTTTGGCTAGCTTCGTCTTGCTAATGCAGATACATAACTCGTAAATGTTCAGATCGGACAACTATATCATACAACTGTCATTACTTTATATAGCTGCCATAGGAATGATCTAGCAGAATTCTAATTCTAGATATTGGCATTTACCAAGCTTAACCAAGCTCTTAACAAACAAACAAAAACCCTTTCGAGTCGATCTATTTAATCAAATTGTTCTTAAGGCAGAAGGAAGTATAAGATCGAATGCCTCTCAGAATCAATCCATTAAATCAAATAGTTCTAAAAGGAGAAAAGGTCGAGTATGGAAAACATTTTCCCTATTCAGATATCTCGAGCAAGTACAGCAACTATTTAAACCAAATAACTTTCACAAAAAGACTCGCTTACATGCATTATCCTATTGCAATAGAGTATTTCAGTCGGTGTTAACAAAATTGTTGTCTTTGCCACGAGTTCGGCTGGAAACTGAAATTGTTGTCACAAGCGAACGATTTTTCTATTTCCTAATAGACTGTAAATCATTTGCGAGCACAACAATTCAGTCTTTTGAATTCTTTTCGATTCGGTATTTGGGTTTCGGTTTCAATTTCAATTGCAATTGCAATTGCAATTATAGTCGCAGTCACGTTTTTTCCTTTTTTTTTTTGTTCTTGTTTTCCGATACCCTAACCGGCGGGCATTACAATTAGGCCATCAAATGTGTAAGCCGAGCTGATAATCGGGCTTATATCTATTTGTCATCTAGTCTCGCATGCTCTCATATGGCTCTTTAGCCGAATCGAAGTACTCTTCTCTTTTTCAACAATATCTCAACTGAATTCAAAATCTATAACTGAGTTCTTTTGGCAGAATCCTTTGTTTGACCTTGTATAGAAATGTGAACCAAATATTTGTGAACTGTCTTTAATCTTCTTTATCTTTTTATCTTCTCATCAAAAAGTGCCGCACATTGATCTCAATACCCTAGTCACAGTCATTTAGCAGAGATAACTGCAAAGTTTTTATAGACATATTTCTTCCACACATTTATTCCCCTATTTATGCGCCAGTCTAACGTAACTAGTCTCTCACTTGGGAGACAACGATGAGACTTGGTATAGCTTCTTTCAGGCACATATATATGTCAAAATTATCCAATTCGAATTGCTATACTCTACTACCATACTGGACTATGCCGTACCATACGAATTTCTATATCTTGTGCACAAAAGAATATCTATCCTGACCCCACTCAACAGTTGTTGGTCTTAGTATGTTTCACAGACTTGGACTTGGGCTTGCAAATATTCAACTAAATAAAATAGTTTTTTTATAAACAACCTTACGGCTTGAGACTTTAATGCGGCCTGTCTCGAGGTCGGATCGAAAAAAAAAAACTGAAAAACATAATAAAATTAGGCAATGGAAGTATACAAATTTATTTTTTGTTATTATTTCGACTTGACCTCGAACCAAATATTATTACGACAATTTTTTTTTTTCAAACGACTTTTCTTTATTGCAATAATTGGACTTAGGGCTCGTTTGAAGGTAATTAATATAAAAACAAACTGGTTTCTATTTAGGTTTTAATACTTATCCCAAGTCACAAATCCACAAATACAATCTTTCAATATGCCTTTCATATATAATATATATATATTATGTATATATTGGATTAAAATGAACTAACCGACGACGTTTCCTTTGTGAAACTTGGGTCAAGCTAAGCCCCTTTCTTCTGAGACACGATTTGGTTAAGGCCCTTCTATGCGATTTTCATTGCATAACGTTTTGCTTGTTAGGGTATACAAAGTTCGGTGCTTGCCCCGTTTGGCGGCTTTGTCTTTCTTGTTAATATTGCCAGTTGAATTGGCCATAAATCTGCGCACAACAAGTGTGTCAGCGGGACCACCCCGCGGCTCGCTGTGTGACAAGTGCGTAGGGGTGAAGGGGTGGCAGGTGGGCAGCGGGTGTTTGGGTGTTTGGCAAATACCCATTTGAGTGCATGATTCAATCAACTAAAGTCAAGTGCCGCACAGCAGCAGCAGCAGCAGCAGCAACAACAACTCTTTGAGTACCAAAATAAAATACAGACACATTGCGCACAATTGTGGCCATAAACAAACAAGTAAGAGTGCTCCAGTCGGTAGTGCACGACTGAAAGATGCCCTACACCTAACACCGAGCTAGATAAAGCTGAACTGCTTCAAGTCCGATTCTCATGGCATTTTGCAGGGCTTAAATATGACAGTCAACTGTGTTCATATGCCAAAGCGCCAGGCTCGCAAGTAAAGGTAAAGGTAAACTAATCGATATTACAAAAATTAACGTAGATATATTCATGCCGCTTAATGCTACTAGAAGCTAGCTACCAAGTTTGGCGTATCTAGCTTTAATAATCTTTGTGGTCGGCCTTAAAAAACCTTTTCCCAAAATCGATAAATATCGATAAATATCGATATTATAAAAAGGAGCGTAGATATCGAAATAAAGGAGATAAACTCACTTCAATTTTGGTTTCGAGAACCTGTCGACCAAGTTTGACGTACCTAGCTTTAATAAGCTTCGAGTTTTGCTCACGAAATCGATATTTATCGATATTATGAAAATGAGCGAAACTATCGAACAAAATATGCACCAGCTCGTTCCACTTATGGCGTTGAGAACACACCTAAGAAGTTTAGCATATCTAGCCTTATTAAGCCTCGAGTCTCAAAATCGATATTTATCGATATTATAAAAAAGGGCGAAGATATCGTAAGAAAGTTGATAAACTCGTTTCGCGTATAGCTTGGATGAATATATATGAATACATTTGAAGTCTGTAGCTTATGTAGTTTTAGACTCAGCTCGTCGATCTGATCAGATATAGAGACCTATTCTTGCCTGTTACATACGTTAGCACAAAACCAATATGCCCTACTTAAACATTTTCAATGGGGCTCGGGGCACAATAAAATATTAATATATATATACATATATACATATAAATATATATATTATTTTTATGTATACATATAAAAACTACCTATGCACTGTTATAATTTGTCTTATCAATAATTTGATTAATTTTGTTTTTTATTACAAAGGTTTGTACTGTGTATGTGCGTGTGTGTCCATGTGTGTGTGTGTCAGGGCGCGTTTAAAAGGGGGGGGGGGGGGGGGGGGGGGGCGTATGGTCAGGGTAAGGTGCGCATTATCGATTTGCCATTTCTTTTGTTCGTTGTGCTCATCAATTAATTCAATCGAAATGTTGTAAATTTCGTAGCCTCCTTGCTTATAGCTATAAATACAGCAGAAATACATCTAATCGCGGCTAGACGATATTACTTTTTTTCTTCATAATTTTTATATAACAATAAGCGTAAGATCCGTCGGAAATCAAAAATCGCGTGAGGCTTGGGAAAACCACTTGACTATACAATTAAATAGATGTATGTAGAATATGTCAGCGAATTTTATAACATATATAAATCTTTGATATGATATGGGCACACTTTAAAGTTGAGCAAAGTTTTTCTTTTATACCAAATGCTGCCTCAATTGATTTAATTTGTGTTCTTTTTTTACCTTAATTTTGCCCTTCTATGCGATTTTCATTGCACTAAGTTTCAGTTCGCCCTTCTATGCGATTTTCATTGCATTGAGCTTACCTTCGCCCTTCTATGCGATTTTCATTGCATTGAGTTTAACTTTCTCAGGTCTATGGCGATATATTCACTGTGGAATTAGCTGGCATAGATACTGTTGGCATTTGGGGTTTTTGCTGCTGTTGCTGTGCCGGGTTTCGCGGACATGGACATGGACACGGGCTATCATCATCTGGCAGTTATCTGGCCGATTAGCTATTTTGACGCGATTTGTGGGGCTCTTGATATGGTTTCAATTATATTGCATACGATTTGAATCTTGAAATGTGTATTGTGTTTAATTGGTTCAAAGATTATTTTGGCACTCAATCAAAGAGTTTCTTGACCAGGAATATATATATACATATATACATATATATATAGATACAGTTGGGATTGTAGAGTAGCTGATCAATTGAAAGTCAGCCGAAGGCTAACATTTTATTTAGAAATTCAAAATTCCAAAGATATCTTAAATGTGACAAACTCTCTAATAGAACAGATACTCACTCTCTCTCACTCTCTCTTTCGAACTCTCTCTCTCTCTCTCTCTCTCTGTGTCTCTTTATCTGTCTCCCTCTCTCTCTTTAACTCTGTCTCTCGCCTTGCTCCTTTCACTCTTCCTCTCTCTCTCTCTATATATATATATTTTTGTCTCTAACTGTATCTGACTCTCACTCTCTTCACTTGCAGCAATGGGCCTATTAAGCGAGGGCAACCCACTCTCCTGGGAGGAGACCAAAAAACTGGCAAATCATGTACGGGAGCATGGCATCAATCAGTTCATAAATCTGTATCACAGACTCAAGGATCGCCAGGGCGATATACTCAAATGGGGCGATGAGGTCGAATATATAATTGTCAAGTTCGATGATGACCAAAAGGTGGCACGTGTCGCACTCAAGGCCAAGGATCTGCTGGCGAAGCTCAATGAAAAGGAACTGGCCGATCCGAAGGGCGTGAAATCCTTGTGGCGTCCCGAATACGGCGCCTACATGATCGAGGGCACGCCGGGCAAGCCATTTGGCGGCCTTATGGCCCACTTCAATCTGGTCGAGGCGAATATGCGCTATCGTCGCGAAGAGGTCACCGAGCTGCTGGCCAGCGATGAGTGTGTGATGTCCATTACAAATTTTCCACGTCTTGGTGCGCCAAATTTTACGTATCCATTGTATCAGCCCCGGCCCGAGGATCCGCTTAGCGCTGCGCGTTCCCTCTACTTTCCGGACGAGGCCATCTTTCCGGGCCATCCACGCTTCAAGACGCTTACGCGCAACATACGCATGCGACGCGGCGAGAAGGTCTCCATCAAGCTGAAGGGTAAATAGCTATATACAATTATTATATAATGATAGCTAATGCTCTACCTTTAACGTTTGCAGTCTTCAAGGATGTGAACACAAAGCTGCCCGTCGAGGGTGCACCGCCCGGTGAGCCGGATGTTGTGCTGCTGGATGCCATGGGCTTTGGCATGGGCTGTTGCTGCCTCCAGTTGACCTTTCAGGCGTGCAACATAACGGAGGCACGTCGTCTTTACGATCAACTGGCGCCGCTCTGCCCGATCATGTTGGCATTGACCGCCGCCTCGCCGGTTTATCGTGGCTATCTTACCGAATCGGATTGCCGCTGGAATGTGATCAGCTCATCGGTGGATTGCCGCACATTGGAGGAGCGCGGCCTTGAGCCGCTAACAAATAGCAAATTTCATATTGCCAAGTCGCGTTACGATTCCATCGATTCGTATCTGTCACCGGAGGGCGCCAAATACAATGATGTGAAGCTCACGTACGATGAGGAGGTTTACAAGCGTTTAATCGAGGGCGGGATCGATCATCTGTTGGCCCAGCATGTGGCCCATCTGTTCATCAGGGACACCGTCTCCCTGTTCAGCGAGAAGGTCCATCAGAATGACAAAGAGGATACCGATCATTTTGAGAACATTCAATCGACAAATTGGCAAACGATGCGCTTCAAGCCGCCGCCACCGAATAGCTCGATTGGCTGGCGTGTCGAGTTTCGTCCGTGCGAGGCGCAAATCTCGGACTTCGAGAATGCGGCCATTGTCTGTTTTGTGGTGCTGCTCACGCGTGTCATCTTATCGTATCAGCTCAATTTCCTAACGCCCATCAGCAAGGTCGACGAGAATATGCAGACGGCCCAGAAGCGTGACGCGTGCCGCAAGGAGAAATTCTGGTTCCGCAAATCGTCCAAGTCGACGGAACAGCGCGCCGCCTGTGTCCAGCTCAATGGCACCTCGAGCGCCACAAATGGCAGCAGCAGCAGCGATGAGGCCGGTAATGCTGAGCCACCCCTCTACAATGGCGCCGCCAAGCTGAACGGACATGGCATTGGACTCAATGGCAATGGTAATGTCAACGCCAATGGCACACACACTCAAAACGGTGCCGACAGCGATCACACCGATACGGATGATGAGGAGAACGAGCTGTTCCAGCTGCTGACCATCAATGAGATCTTCAATGGCAAGGTAAGTTCACTCTCTCATGTTCCTGTTAAAGCTCATGTTAGTGGACATTGCCTGCTAAATGCAATGTTAACATTGCAAGTCAATGGTACATTTAGTAGGAACATTAAAACAAATGCTGATAAATATCTGCACATAAATCAAGGTGACAAAACTGTGGAGTATAGATTTAGATCATTGTTTTCGACGAACATGTTATCAATTAATTTAAACCAAGCGAAATTAGATTTCGTCTTTTAAAAATATATTAAAAGAAATTCGTTTACTTAAAACGACATAGTCAAACATTTGAATGTTGATGGTAACTTAAAAAAAAAGTATTGTTAATTTCTGGAATCAACCAAGTTTTTGCTGCAATTCCCTAACATTTAGATAACCCATTAAATACAATTTAAAAGTAGGCGTTAACTTACCGGGCACAAGATAAAATTGGTTAACTGCTTAAGACAAGCAGTGCACTGCTTGGCATATTGCTTAACATATTGAATGTTAAAGTGCTGTTAGCTCAGCTATAGCTGGTAAAAATAACAGCGCGCTGTTAGTTTGGCTTAACAGTGGTCTAAATTTAACAGCTGCAAGAGAATTGTTAGGGGAATACCCCTATGTACGTTAAAAAAAAAGAAGAAAATCAAAATAAATGTCATTTTGAGGCTGTGCTTCTATGTAAATGAAAGATTTAAATGGAAGAGCATATGAAGCTTGGAGAGAGCTATATTCTAATACATTTTGAATATGCAGACACCACAAATAATAGTTTTGCATTTAACCCACTTGCAGCCTGGTGTATTTCCTGGCCTGGTGCCGCTAATACGCAGCTATCTGCAGTCCATGGAGGTGGACACGGACACGCACTGCACCATTGAACAGTATCTGCGCTTCATACAGAAGCGCGCCGCCGGCGAGCTGATCACAACGGCCACCTGGATACGCGAGCAGGTGCTCAGCCATCCGGACTACAAGTGAGTGCTCAAAACCAAAAACTTATAGATAAATATCTTTATATACATGTGTTTGGTATTACAGAAAAGATTCGGTGGTTAGCGAGCGGATTAACTATGATCTGCTCAAGTGCATACAGCGCATACAGGAGGGCAAGCATGTGGAGCCGGCGCTGCTTGGCCAGGGCAATCATTCCAAGACGAAAGATTTCATTCCGCCCGCACTCCAGAAGCAGCTGGCCAAGACTGGCTGCTGTGAGGACAAATGATTGCGCTGATATAGCTCAAGCACACACACTCGCGCACACACACACACAACAACAACAACAACAACTATAAAACAAAAGCAAAACAAAAAACGACAAAAACAACAACAAAAGCAGCAGCAGCAAAAATGAAAGCAATTCAACATACATTACATATACATATATCTATATATATATATATATACATATATATATATATATATATATATATTTATATTCATATATCTATATATATTTATATATATATTGTGTGGCTGAGCCCGTGGCAAGGCTTACAGCTGCAGGGGATCAGCGCAGACCAGGCCCAGTCCTGGCTGCAACACAGGCAAACGAGAGAGCGAGAGAGAGAGTGAGAGCTGTGCGCGTGCAACGCCGGGCAATGTGCATCGCTTCTAGTTCGTTTCGAAATGGGGCGTTGCAAAATCTATCAATATTAATATTTGTTTTTGTGTAGCATAATTCTAACAATTTCTAATTTGAGCAACAGCAGCACGTGGCAGGTGGGCAAGGCGACATGGGGCAGGGCATTGCCACGCCCCCCCCCCCCCCCCCCCCCCTGGCTGGCTGGCCATCGAGCAGCAGCCGTGGCATGTTGAGTGGGTTTTCCTTTGTCAATAAACGAAACAAACTCAAAATATAACAACTCGATCTGGCTACTTTAATGCTTAAAATATATATATATATTTTTTATGTTTTTTTAAATCAATTTTTTTATTGTAACTATAGATTTATATATATATATATATATGTATGTATATATGCATACGTATGTTTGTATTATTATTACTATGATATGGCCGCAAGTGCTTGAAGTTGTTGCAAGCCCCGCACGTGCCGCAAGTGCCACACACACATGCCACACACACATGCCACACACACATGCCACACACACGCCCAACCATGCTGGGCGCAGTTAGCAAAATCTCAACCAAGTGCCGTTCCACATGACGCAATCAAAAAAAAAAACAAAATAATAAAAAAAAAAAATTTAAAAAAAGTTAAACAAAAAAAAAAAATACCTAAACGGAATAGTTCAAAGTAAAAAACAAGTTGTTTTTTTATTTTATTTAATTTTTTTTCTTTATTTTCTTTCTTCAAAGTGAAAAACAAGTTTTATTTTTATTTTCTTTTTTGTTAACATATTTTTTTATATTGTTTCGGTTTTTTTTCCTTCATTCATTTTACAAACTGTGGCCCAATGTTATTAAGTTTTTACATGTATTTGATAAAAACAAACAACAAAAAAAAAAAGAACGAGAGAGAAACTTGTGCTATTATTATTTATTAATGTCTGTGTGTAATTGTATCACGAACACTATTATTATTATTATTATTGCTATTATTATTATTATTATTGCTATTATTATTATTACTATGAGCATATTATTAAAGCAGTTATTGTGACCGCAAGCCAGGCAAAATAAAAATAAATAAAAAATTATAAATAAAACAAGTTGAAAAAAAAAAAAAAAAAAACTATTGTTGAAGCTTGATTCTACGCGAATTTGTTGTGCAAAAAAAAGAAGATATTTATATATAAAAAAAAATAAATAAAAAACGTTGTTCTTAAAAAAAAACACTTACAAATATAGTACTTATGAAAGCAAATCAAATTTATATACGAACATAATGAAAAAAAAAAAAAACAACATTTTGATAAAATGCCTTCTGAATGGAAAGAGTATATATATATATACAACTATGTATATATATATATTTATTTCAAATTCACCAAAATGTACTTAGGACTTATGATTAGAGACAAGAGACAGAGTTAGAGCAAATCGTTGGCATGGAGCAAAGTTAGGGAAAAACAATGAACTTTTTACTAGACTAGCGTTAATAGAGAAATCAAAAAGTTGCTAATAAACACCTATACATATATATTATATTGACTTGGAAAACAAATTCTTGAAACAATTCACATTGTACTTATACAATATAGTTATATACACACACACACATATGTTTTGGCATAAAAAAAATTAATAAAAAATAATTTTAAAAAATTAATATTTTTAGCCAATTTAAATGCAAATTTTGCAGCACTTGTGCACAGCATTTTAGTTGATATATATTTTTAATATAATTATATAATGTATTTGGTTTTGTGTTGATTTTTTCCCGCCCTGCCTGCCCATGAGCACAAACAGTATTTTGATAACCTCAAGTGCATATTATTAAATACATACATTTGTATACCAATCACTAAATGCAAATAAAAGCGAAAGTATAACGAAAACTTCTTTGCAGCAAAATAAATGCGTTGTTTTCTTTGTGCCTATCGCAAGAGAAAACAATTGGCGGCATATTCGATTTTAGCGCCCTTTTGATTGCGGATCAGCGTACAGATTTCAATTTAGTTAACAGCGTAATCGTTACTCATTTTGCGTTTGCATTGCTCCGTTTTGCGCTTGCGTTGCGCTGTACACGGCGCTGTTAATGTTAGCAGGCCATGTTAGCCCTACGTTGGGCTGCGTTGCGTTGTTTTCGTCGTTTTGTTTACATACCAAGCCCCAAAATTAACATTCAATTGGCATATACATATTTTTTTTGTTATTTTTGGCAGACAACGTGCGTTTAAATGTTAAGTTACAATGCTCGCGCACTAGTCCAAGTATTAAGCATTGCCTAAGTGTTGTGTATTTGTGTGCATGTCCACATGTTTGATTGAATAAGAAAATCAGCTGCAAGCAAACGCATGCGATTTGTTTTCATATATTTGTTTGTTATTTTTTGTGAACTACGGCGTCAATCAATCATCAACCGTAATTTGTATTGCTGTAAGCAAAGGATCCGATTTGTGCATGCGTCATTGCAACTATGTAATTTGTTTTGTGATTCACATTCCGCATTCCGAGCAAAACAAACACGAAAAAATACCGTTACACTGTAAGCGTGTCGCTGTGCGAGAGGGTGTCTAAGTGCTTTCGGCGGAGTACATGTGTATACATACATGTACGTACATGTGTACGTGCCGTGCGAATCCTTTTGCTCAGCTTTCGCACTGACGCCTCGCATGTGTGTGTGTGTGTGTGTGTGCTTGTTTGTGTGCCGCTCTTTGAAACACGAAATGATAGCGAAAGCAATAAACTGGGCAGGCGAAGAAATCGAGTAAAAATATGCTCGGTCTAAATTAATTCGAAATTGCAATCAATTGCCACAAATCGGGGCTCGTTCGGTGTGTTGGGTTGGACATGACACATGTCTGCTAAAAACTAATCGACCCCGCCCTCACCCTTGCCAGTCGGTGACAACAAGTGATAAAAAACAACTGCACACTGCAGCCCAACTTGCAATTGTAAATAACAAACACACACACACACGCATGTGAACACACGCACACACATACATACTTGTGAAAAAGAACGGAACACGCCCAAAGCTATAGCCATAAAGTGTTGCCTACAAGAAAGACTCCTCAACAACGCCCATTAACAGAAACAACAATAACAATAGCAGCAGCAGCAGCAGCAGAGGCAACAGACAGTGTTGCCAAGTGGCGCAAAGTGTAACAATAAGTCGAATAAACGTAACGTCCTTGGTAACGGCAAACGTCAAAACTGGAACAGGCATAAAAAGAACAATAAGCAAAAGGACGGCAGCGACATACAGCGAAAAAAAAAGCCCAAGGTGTGGTGGAAAAAATATGGGTAAGTGGGTTGTTTAACATTTGACAAATTTGCATGAGTGTAGTTAAATGTGGCTACCTGTGCCTGTGCCTGTGTGTGTGTGTGTATGTATTTGTGTGTGGTGACAATTGTCACAGTAGCAATTGACATTTGAATGGGTTAGATACAAAACGCCAAGAGCGCTAGTAAGTGAGAGAGCGAAAGAGTGAGAGAGCGCAAGCGAGTAAGAAATAGCAAGCAAGCGCGTGAGCGCAAGCCGCTGAGAGCGCGAGAGAGCGTGCCAGTGGCATGTCCTGTTATTTTATTTCATTTGTTTTTTTGTCGCTGCTTTTTATGTGTGTGTGTGTGAGAGAGTGTGGGGCGAACATAATGTCAGCTAAATAGGCTTAAAAGGATACTGCAAATGAGAATTGCAGTTTTCCTGTGCGCTATTGTAATTTCTTCGGCATTTACGCTTGTCTTTTTTTTATACATGTTGTTGCCTTTTATAACTGTCGTCTGCAGGCGCCGTTCGTTTTATGCGCGCTCTCTTCTCTTCCAGTGTGTGTCTGTGTTTTGGTGTGAGTGTGTGTCGGCATGGCCAAAGCGTCCGTCAGCGTTTTGGGCCCTCGGCAGTGAACTTTTTAGCGCGTGGCTGCCAGGAAGGGCCGCAAGCACAGGCAAAAGCCCAGCCGCCTGCAACGCATCCAACACGAAACACGCCTCGCTGCGCTCTGCGGTTCGTGTCTGTGTGCGCGTGTGTGTGTCTGTTTGTTTATTTGTGTGTGTGCGCCCCTTTAGCATCTATTGTGAACAATATTAACTAAAAGCGGACGCGTTGTTGTTTTTTTTGTTGCAGCCGCAGCAGCGTCAACATCGCCAACGACAACAACAACCACAGCAGCAGCAGCAGCAGCAGCAACAACAACGACAGCAGCAGCAGCAGCGGCAGTAGCAGCGGCAACAACCGACGCAGTGGGCGGCAGCGGGGGCATCGATACGGGCAACGGCATCGAGATGCTGAAGGCATTATACGATTTCCAGGCGGTTTATCCGAAAACAATCAGCTTCGATGAGGGCGAATATTTTATACTCTATCAGACGTCCGCACGTCAGCGTAACTGGTGGCAGGTGGTCAGCATGAAGGGCAACATTGGCTTTGTGCCATCCAATTACGTAATGAAGATAAAGGTAATGTGTCGCCTGCCTGCCTGCCTCCTGGCAAAATGGAATCTAATCAAGTTCGTTCACAGGTGGAACATGACTTTCTGATCAGCTTTCTCAACTCTTCGATTGAGTCGCTGGAGAAGTGCACTGAGCCAGAGATAAATGGCATCATGTCCAAGGAGGACCTGCTCGACAGGCTGCGCGAGAAGAAGCACACCATGGAGCGGCTCTATGCGGTCTGTTGGCTAGCTACTTAAATTATGTAATCAACAATATAGACATTTTACGTTTAATTTGAACAGGAGAGCTCGGAGCGTGATGGTGACTCATCCTTGTCCTATTCGCACAGCTACAGCGAGAAGCAGCAGCAGCTGAGCGGCAGCCACAGCCATTCGCACCGGCACGCGCACACGCATCCGCATCAACAGAAATCGCAACAGAATAGTCCGCCTGCCATGCAACGACTGGACATGAGCAAGAAGAGCATGTCCAGCCCGGCGGTGGGCGTTAGTGTGCCACAGCAATCGATGCCGGAGTCGCCCAGCATGGGCAGCATGCATCAGTTGCCGAGCAGCAGCTGCACCATACAGACGCCACAGCAGCAGCAGCAGCAGCCGCTGCCGGCGCCTCCATTGGTCGCCAGCACGTCGGCAGCAGCAGCTGCTGCAACGCAAACGCAAAAGGTGTCCGCGTCCGTGTCGGATGTGGCGCAGGACAACAGCATCACCTCAGAGCCGTCGGAGACGACAACAACAACAACGACCACCAGCGAGGATGTGGTCACCACCTACAAGGAGACCAGCCAGCTGAGTGCCAGCAACGGAGCCACATCAACAGCTGCTGCTGCTGCGGCCGTCCTAACGGCAGCCGCAACAACAGCAGCATCTGCAGCAGGCACAGCTGGGCAGGCGCACAACGGCAGCAGCGGCGGCGGCGAGCCGCTCAGCCTGAGCCTTAGCCAGGGCGCGGACAGTGCGCCCGACAAGTCCGAGGCGAGCGATGACGGCTGCAATGGCTGTGCGGACAATAGCCAAGCGCTGGACGAGAGCATTGAGAGCGCATCGCTGTCGCATCGGCACGGCGTCAATTTGGCGGCGGGCGTCAGCAATGGGCGTGGCGGGCTTAAGGTTGAATCATCGGATGTGTATCAGATTGTGGATGCCTTGCGTCGCAATACGAATCTCAGCTTTGATTTGTCCTGCGAGGCATTGCGCGTGGTCCTTACCAGCTTGGAGCAGCTATACAATGGCGCCATCAATCCGTATCTGGAGGCCGTAGCCGTGCATGTCACCGGCAAGGTGGCCACGCCCAAGGAGCTGCTGGGCATTACGCACGACTCAAAGCGACTGCAATATTTGTTTGCCCAGCTGGCCGACTGCAAAAACGATACGGAACAGCGCACCTGGATGCTGTACGAGGACGAGGAGGACATCATACAGTTTCTCGAGGAGCTCGTCGAGATACTGGTGAGTAAGAAAATTGACTAAACGTTCGCAGAATTCAATGCGAATTGTTCTTCAAAGGCAGAGGATCAGATATGATTAGGAATAAGTGTGCATCTTGTGGTATTGACGCTATGCTTATGTATGAAGCAGATAGAAAGAGACATCTTCGATCCCATAATATATATTGATATGTATCTCCCTCTGCTTGGGATTATGTAAGCTGTTAAAGGCCTTGAGCTGGGCATATAGCGTCTCGCTGACAGATCGATTGCATTCAAACGATATATATCGATTTCCAGCTTCGATTTTATGTGCATTTCGTGGAGTGACAAAATATGATATGTTCTTATATAAAGCGCATTTCACGCTCGAAACTTCTAGCATTGCGCCAAAATCGATTAATATCGATTTCAGTCCGGATATTTAGGCATAAACAGTTTGTAGATAGTTATATAGTTATATATATATATATATAAATATCGGTGACTTTTGCCACATTTGATTGCCATCTTTTGTCCTTGCAGAATAACGCGGATGAGAACATCAGCTGCTACGAGATGTCGTGCGATCAATATCAGATGTTCATCAATCTGGTGCAATACTATCAGATGGAGACGCGTTGGTCCATCAAAAAACTCTTGCTTAAGACTTTCACAGCTGCCTGCCACTTGGATCACATCATTGTTGACATACTGCTAACCTCGGTGCTGCCATTGGAGATTGTGAGTGTGCATTAACCCGGCATTTGCTTGGCAACAGATTGATTGGCATTTAACATTTCAGGTGGAGGATATGAAGACGCACTTTGCCAATTTGGATCGCTTTAAGCAGCTGGTGAAAATGTTAACCATCATCTTCTCGCTGGGCCAGCCCATGCCGGTCAATCATCAGGGTGCGTTATTCCTAGCTTAAAGCTATATAGATTTAAGATTTGTAGCTCGATATGGATAGATATTTGGGTAGATATTCGTAATTCTCTGTGCCTAATCACAAACCTAAACATGTCTAAATTGAGCCTTTTTGTTTGGCGACGATGTTTTGTGAACTTTTTACCTTTATAGTTCTATAAAAAGGTGACCTCAATTTTACCACCTCACTACCAATTGTTAATGCTTAGCAATAATTGCATATTTGTGTGCGCGCCGCTTTTAATCGATTTCTATTGATTTTGTAATTATATAGTTTTCTTTCACGAGCCTAAACGACAAACTTTGTCAATGTGTCCAAACCGATTTCTAGTTCCCACAACGAAATCGCATTAGACTGAGCTTCAGACAAATGAATTAATCATATGCTATATATACCGACAGGCCTTACCCAGTCATAAATCGAAAATCATTGCAATACGTATTTGTTCTTGAACAAGGAAGGGCTTTGAAAGTGAGCCTGAAGCCGGAATAACTTTGTTTTTGAGATCCTTTGTATCGCATTTCAAATTCTGTGAGCTTTGTTAAATGAATTTTCACAAAGATCTGAGAAAATATTTATATGCTCATTTTCCATGAATTTTCCACACTTTTGGGTGGAATTAAAAAATATATATACATGTCGTCAAGTCTAAAATCCTTTTTTAGTAGAACTTAGACTTTGAATATTTATTGCATATATCATAATATTATAGCTCATGGGAACAACATATCTGAAATGGGTTTTTAACATTATTGAACAACATTGTTTAAGCGTTTTACAACACTATTTGTTGAACATCAAGTTGGCCGGGCATTTATTTTTTGCCGACAGTTTTGACTCTCGTCTCCAGCTATAAAATATTTCATTTGTGATTTGATCTCAGTCGAGTTGAGAGCAAAACTGAAAAATCCAATTTTTCTTAAAGAAAAGAAGAAGAAAAGAAAAAAAAAAACAAAGAAAAGCTAAAAGTTTTTCCCGTAGAGAATTGAATAAGTGAGTTTGTGTTTAGTTTTCTTGTAACGAAGAAATTGAGTGCTTGTTTTTTATTTCTCGTAAATGATTAAACACAAGGTGCTTACCTAAAATGAATCCAACTGAGAATCCATCCGTTAACCCATCCGTGAATCCATCTGTGGATCCGTCCGTTAATCCCATCGTGGACCTAACCGTTGATACAACCGTGGACCCGTCCGTTGACCCAACCACAAATCCGAATGTGAAAGAAGCCACAGCTGACAAAAGGAAGCTGGAGGAGCTTAAGAAGAAGCAGAAGCTGCCCAAAATGGACAACGTTTCGACTGTCCACGCCCAGGCAGTCCAGACCATGGAGGACGGCGAGAGTGACACCGACACCAGCTCCGATACCACGGGCACCCCGACCAGCGAGTCCCACTCGGAGGGCGAGCAGGACGAGGATGACGACGAAGAGGACGAGGAGGAGGAAACATAAATTCGAGTCTTAAAGAAGATTAAGTAACGGAGCGTCGCTGCGGCTTGAGGACACGCAATACGCATCGCCATCTGCTCCTGTACCGGCTGACCTTCCAGAAGAAATACAAAAACCAACCAAAATAAACACAAATAAATCGATATGCAACGCGATTACAAACATTTTCTTTTCATAAACTAAATCCATTAAAAATGGGTAAAAACTGAAGTTTGCATGCTTAAAAGTTGGAGGTCGGCTTGAAAACTGAGTCCGTCCGTCTGTATGAGCGTTGATTCCGGAAACTGCCAAGGGCCAGACTTATAAATGTGTCTATATGCTCTATATACTCTATATACTCTAGATATTCTAGATACTCTAGATACTCTAGATACTCTATACACTCTATAAGGAACCAAATTAACAAAGAACTTCCAACCGAGTGTGGAACAAATGGAACAGAAATCTTCTAGTCGGGCATGTCCGACTAGGACACCATTTGCTTGTTTCTATTGAGATTGTCTGTAAATGTGGCTCAAAGATTTTCCAAGCTAGTTGCCAGATATTTGAACAGCTTTCTGCTGTGTTTGATTAGATTAAAAATTAGTTAAAAGAATTCGTTTTTTTAAGTAAGTTAAGAAAAGCCAATTTGAATGTTATAAATTGTTTATACTCTTTATATCCTTGCAGATTATTTGGGCGTGCATTTTGCCAGCTTTCTGCTGGAAATTGTTGAGGGCAACAATCCGGAGCTGCTGGTCGATATGGTAATTGCCCTCATACTTGCCTTCAATCAACAATTTGGTGAGCATACGGTCAATGTGATCATTGAGGCCATGCAAAATCTGCCCACGGCCAAGGTGTTCACCGAGAAGCTATTGCTGCTGCTCAATCGCGAAGGTAAGTGATTCCTTCCACATGCCTCGCTAATGCTATGGTATACTAAATTCTCTTCAATTTCCGACAGATGATCCGACGCGTCTGCTGAAGCATCATAATCAGCATATGAACACGGTGCTGCGCATGTTTATTGACATATTCAGCCATCCGGATACGGCCGGCATGTTTTATACTAATGACATTAAGGTGCTAATTGATATTGTGGTGCGTCAGCTGTCCGATTTGGATGCAGGCAGTGCGGTACGTTAAATCTATTTACCTAGAAAACAGAAGCATCCTATCAGCTGGAAGGTACAGACGGGCCATCGCCAAGTGAGGGAAGCTACAGTTTGTATGATAGGCATCAAAGATAATGTAGATATATATGTATTAGTGTGCTTTGCGTGACTAGCAACTGGCAGGTTGAAGATTCAAACTCTCAGCAGCTATTTTCAGTCATGTTTGTTAATCATACTCGAAAAGGTTTTTGGCCTAACTGTCTGACTAATTGATTGTTAATTGAAGCTTCCTTTCAAGCGGGTTCAAATTCAGCGTGGTGGCACACTGCGCACGAAGTTAAAGGCTCAAAGTACGGCAAAGACAAAATCTTTGGCCCAAATTCAAATGGGAAATGTGAGAAATGTTCTTTTATCTTCAATTAAAACCAGTTTTCTTTGGGCGCAATAGAGGCGAGACAGTGTATATGAAAGGGAGTAGTAAAGAGTTTCTTAATAGAGCAGGAAATATGGGCCTCTTGAAAGTGCTGGACACAAGACGAGATACTTTTTGACGTTTCTTACAATGTTGTTTGCAATTTGTGAAATTAATGTGTAAGATGGGGGAAGGACATATGAATTCGACTAACATCTCTTTCTCTCTCTCTCTCTCTCTCTGTCTCTTTTTGTTGGCAGACACGCCCTTGCTATTTGGAGCTGTGCCGTCGCATCTTGCGCAACACAAATTATCAGGAGCATCAGCATCGCAAGCATGATCTGATGAAGATCTTTACGCGCATCTTTTGCGAGGAGACCGAATGCAGCGCATCCGATCAGCAGCTGGTGCGCGAGATAGCCAACGAATTTCCCCAGTTGTTTAAGGCATAAGCAAAACGAAAGCAAAAAGACAAACCACACGCACTCAAAATTAAACCAAGTAAAATTATGTAAAGCGTTGCTAGTGAGGCTAAACAAAGTGAGCCAACGACAATTTTCAAATTTCGAATTTTTATAGGTTCTAGATCTGGGCATTAGCATTCTATAACATTTCGAACTGCATTTCTGACAACTGACAACTGACGCGAACATTTATTTATTCTTATTATACAAATTGATCTGTTTTTTTTTGTTTTTTCTATTAAATAATTAACTAAATCTGTTTTGGATAGCCAAGTTCCATTTTGCGGCATTTTGTAGCGTATCTTATGAGACAGCCAACTATTTGCATATGAAAAATCATATATGTTGTGCTTGTGCGCAATCTTTATAGAGAGCTAGACACACACTAGCTAATAGTTGCTCTAGAGTATATCATAAATAATATTATAATAATATACAACATACAACATTTACATTTAAGTCGGGGTATAAAAAGCAAATGAAGCCAAAGCTAACATTTATCACAATGCTGTTTGGATAGTTATAGAAGAACCATATATGTTGTTTAGGCAATATGCAAAATGCAGGCATTTTTCAGTTTTAACTATTTTAGTGCATAATACAAATACACACAAACATGCATATATACATATATGCATATATGTATTTTTTAGAGATTAACAACCAAATTTATAGAACGAACAAGACACAAATTTTACATCAAAATTTATAGTTAAAAAGTTAAAACAAATGGCAAGCAACAAAAACAAAAATGAAGAAATTATAGAAAAAATTAACAACAAATTATAAACTCACTATGAAAATGATATTTAATGCAAAATATGAAATGTTAATTGCAATCAATAATGAATATGAGAAATGATATTTAATCAAATCAAATCGAAGTGCGAAACTAATGTTAAATTTGTTTATATAATCTATGAGAAACAAATCCACAAAAAAAAAAGAAAATCTAAACCCAAAATCGACGACTGTTGTTAAAGCTCAGCATAAACAGCGAACATAAAGAAAACATAAGAAAATCAATAATAACAATAATATTAAACAAAAAAGCAAATAGAAAATTATACAAATTTGTTGACACACACACTTATTCGCAAGCCCCCCCTCGCTCTCTCTCTCTCTTTCTAACTCTCTCTCTTTCTCCCTCTCTTTTACCAATGAAAACGCACTTTGGCCAAGTGAAATTTTAAATGTGTTTTTAATCAAAACTTGTTTATTTGTAAGACGTTTCAAATTGGTAACAAAGTTGATAAAACTATTAAGTTTATTGTTAAACAAAAAGAAAAGAAAACATATAAAAAAAAAAACGAAACATTGTTGAATTGAATTAAGTAACAGGAATGTACAAAATACAAATGAATTATTAATAACACGATTAACAGAGGACAACAAAACTAGCTAAATGCAATTAATAAGCCGCACATTTAAATCAAATCTCTCTACAAAGATTCGTATTCAAAACAAATAACAAATTATAATTCAAATTTATGCAAATGTGCCACAATTTTCAACTCTCTCGATTCAAATAACAACAGCAACAACAATAACAGAAATAAAATTTTAAAAGTTGGCAAACAATTTGCAACTTTGTTAATTTGCTCAGTTTTAAACAAGGAGAACACACACACACACACACACACACACACACGCATATTAAATAGTTATTGATGAAATGAAGACAATTCAAAAAGGCAACGCAGCAAAAGGCATTGAAAATGTAACAAACAATGAAATTGCAATAATTATAAAGAGTAAACAAAATATAATAACAAATAAAAATATAAACTTTCAAAAAATCAACTTGCAACTAAGCTTGTCATGAAATGTGCAACACATCGAGGAAGCACTCTGAGAAAACCTAAAGTATGTCTATACATATATATATATATATTCTTGATCAACAGCCAAGCATCTCTTTCCATTGCAGGCAGTGCATATATTGGAATCGTTCGGATTGGACACATGGTAACTAAGCATCCTTTGAGAACCAAGTTCTTGGAAAAATTGTTCTATTATACCCTTGTAGAGCGTATTACTATCAATCATGAAATGACTGATTGACTGATTGACTGCTTGACTGATTGATTGATGATCAACGCACAGCCCAAAACCTTAGAGCTAGGAAGCTGGCATTTGCACTGCAGTGTGTTTACCCTCCAAACGGCCTCAAACTCATTTTCAAAGATCTTTCAGGGAATTTATTTAAATCCGGGTTAGTATCCGCTATTATCCTTTATAGACAAAGGTCGAAATTTGCCACTCCCATAACTCGGTGAAAACTTCACCGATTTTCACAAGGCTTGGCTTTTTGTTCATGGTTTGGCTTCTAGATAAAGTTTGCATCAGAAACTGGCAACAAAATATTTGATCAAAATTCTAGGTACGCTCACATATTCTTTATAGACATAGGTCGAAATTTCAAGTCCCCATAGCTTCGTCAAATCTCATTCGATTTTCACGAGCCTCAGCTTTTTGTTCATGGTTTGGCTTCTAGATCAATTTGGCATCTGGTAGTTTATTCTTGTTTATTTAAAGATGTATATTGAAATAGCTCGCGTTTCTTTCATTGGCAGACTCTGCTATCGACTCTGGGCTTCACTCGAAGCTGTAACTTGTTGAGAATTACAAGCCTCAAGCAGAAATTTGGCTCAAACGTAGATAATCCAATGCAAATAAAACAATTGTTAAACAATTTTCGTTTGCTCAACACATGGATAATTAGAGTTTATTTTGCGATTTACGAGTATAGGTTTTGAGTGGTTTCTGTGCTTATAGAATACCTGTGCCTAACATGGACACCTTTAAGTAGTATTATGTAAGTATATTATCATATGTGCTTCTTGTATGTTGTCTTTACAGGCATGACATACATAGGTATAATAGTAACAATAGCCAAATAAGTTGAACGAATACATATATCATATATATAGATATATATAGTAATACGGTATAGATATTGAGTAATATTGTTATAGTGTCGATTGCTAGTCGAATCTTGACAATTGGATATATTCTGTTGACAATACGATCCCAAACAACAGCAACATTTAACTTTAGTATAAGATCGCTAAGTTAGCGTAGTTATATATGTATATATTATGATGCATATATGTATGTTTAATATGGGGGTTAGTAGTTCACGTACATTCATTTTGGGCCGCTTAACAAATGGTTACAACTGTCGCTGTGCCTAATTTCCTTTAAGGAACACAAAGCTTAACGAATTTTCTTTTAGTTTTTCAATTTTCCATAGCGGCGATTCACATCTTCCTTGCTAGTAGGGTAGTCCTTAAAAGTGTTGTTCCAAAAGGAAAAAAAAAGTAGCTGCTGCTGCGAGTCGCTGAAAAAGTGTGACCAAGTATTAGGATTAACTTTTAGTAGACTCCTCGACTCACCTTGTTGAAGTCGCGGCCGCCGCATCGAGGACGCGGCGCCTCCGGCTCGGCTCCAGGTTGGAGGACAACTGTCGGGCGTGTGGAACACAAGCGTCCGCTTTTATAGGAACGATTCGGCTGGGTCCCATTTGCGTCGCTGGTGGAGACAATTTTACGCCCCGATGCGCATCTAACCCAATTCATTTATTTAGCGCTTGTCCAACACTGAGCCAACATATTGTTCAATTGCGCCCTAATTCGATTTTGATTGCAAGCGCGCTTATCGCACTTGTGCACACGGCCTAGGCGCAGCGGCGGGCTCAGAGCCCTGCCTGCCCGGCATATATAGCTCTGACGTCACACGCCTCGACTTTATTCCGTTCCAGTGGTTAGTATATCAAATATTGCGGCATATATAGCTATATACATAATATATATTAAAATAATATATAGGTTCCTGAGTGTGTTCGACTGGAAAGCTTGGTCTAGAGTACTTTAATCTAAACATAAATATACACACGACTTGCACAACTTTTGCTAATGGTTTCTATACCAGGAATCCATTTACTTAACTGCCGAGAGAAGGGTATATTGGACTTGCGCAAAGGTATGCAACAGGCAAGAAGCGACTTACTCAGCTAACTCATCCTGCTTACACAATCTTGTTGAATATCATTTTCAGATTGGATTTATGCATGTATGCATGTATGATGCATGTTTATATGTATGTAAGTGTGTATGTATGGATGTATGTACGTACGTACGTATGTATGTATGTATGTATGTATGTATGTATGTATGTATGTATGTATGTGTGTGTGTATGTATGTATGTATGTATGTATGTATGTATGTATGTATGTATGTATGTATGTATGTATGTATGTATGTATGCATATATGTACATATGTATGTATGTATGTATGTATGTATGTATGTGTGTATGTATGTATGTATGTATGTATGTACGTATGTATGTATGTATGTATGTACGTATGTATGTATGTATGTATTTATGTATGTATGTATGTATGTATGCATATATGTACATATGTATGTATGTATGTATGTATGTATGTATGTATGTATGTATGTATGTATGTATGTATGTATGTATGTATGTATGTATGTGTGTATGTATGTATGTATGTATGTGTGTATGTATGTATGTCAGTAAGTGTGTATATATGTGTGTATGTATGTGTGAATTTATGTATGTATTCATGTATGTATGTCTGTATGTATTCATATTTGTATGTATGTATGTTTGTATGTATGCATGTATTTATGTATGTATGTATTTATGTATGTGTGTATGTATGTATGTGTGTAAGTGTGTACGTATGTACTTATTAATGTATGTATATATATATATATATATATATATATATATATATATATATATATATATATATATATGTATGTGTGTGTGTATGTAGGTAGGTGTGCATTTAGTTGTGTATGTATGTGTGCATGCATAAGTATGTATGTATGCAAGTTCACATCTAGCTGCTGTTGAAACTAAAAAAAGAACGCCCTGCTACGCGATTCTCATAAACTCAAGTAAGGCTTCACTTTAAGTAGAGGAGGCGGCTGCTGTAATACAGGAGGTGCAACTCAGGAGGAGGCGGCTTTCATATAGGAGGAGGCGGCTTCAACTATAGACGAGGCGGCGGCTTGAGCTAAGGAGGCGGCTTGAGCTAAGGAGGCGGCAGTGGCAGGAGGAGACGGCTTCAAATATGAAGTTTTAAAAAAGCGTATTCTTAGCTAATGCCCTACTACGCGATTCTCATAAACTCAAGTAAGGCTTCACTTTAAGTAGAGGAGGCGGCTGCTGTAATACAGGAGGTGCAACTCAGGAGGAGGCGGTTTCAACTATAGACGAGGCGGCGGCTTGAGCTAAGGAGGCGGCAGTGGCAGGAGGAGACGGCTTCAAATATGGAGTTTAAAAAAAGCGTATTCTTAGCTAATGCCCTACTACGCGATTCTCATAAACTCAAGTAAGGCTTTCCTTAAATAAGAGGAGGCGGCTGCAACTAAGGAGAAGGAGGACGCTTAAATATTGAAGGAAACGGTGGCTTGAACAATGGAAGAGGCGGCTTCTGCTTATCTCTTCTTTCAGTGTTGTGTTTATATGAAAGTTCGTCTTCCGCCTACTGAAAGTCGATGATAAAGGAATCGTGCGTGTGGATTTACAGGTAAGTACGCAATTCCAAATATATATTTTATTAAATACGAATTTATATTTTATATATATGTATAGGGCCAATATAGTTATTGTTATTATTTATAGATAGATTTTATTTTTAAAGCCTATAAATTCTAGATAAAATATAACCCCTAAGAAGCATTGAAACAGACAGACGAACTGAAGGGCTTGGCCCACCTACTCGACTTTTGATGGTGATCAAGAATATATACATTATGGGGTCGCAGATGACTCCTTCTATACGTTACATATTTCACAAAATATATATATATATTGATTCCCATACTAGTTAACTCTTGGGGAATTAGAAATTATATAAAGGAAAGTTGAGCGGATGTGTTTTTCACAGACACATAAGTGAAAATCTGGAACTTTGTATACTGTATATACGTCCGCTCAACTTTCCATTAAATTATTTCTATTTGCCCAGGAATCAAGTGGTATGGGAATCAATGGACTACCCTACACTGTCATCAGTGACGTCACAGGCTCAGTTGGTCTAACTGAATTTCATTCATAAAATGCTTAGATTGAAAACAGCCCTCACACATTAGAACCACTTGAGCGGAGTTGGTGCTGAAGTCGTTCGCCTTGGCCAAAGCGCAGTGGTGCACATGTGCGATAAGCGAAATTGAATCAGTCAACGGGAAATTGAGGTTCATTTGGAATACTGCGTCTCGAGCGCTGCGTGGGCGTTGCCGTGCAGAGTCCTGGCCTAAGCTTTTGGTATAAATAGACGGCAAGGCAACTGGATAAGTCATTCGAGCTTCGAGGCTTGCTGAAGTAACGGCTACCACAGAGACCACATCAATCCCGAGACCGGTGCCGATAACCGTAGCTGTAAGACGCCTTCGCTTGGGAGTAACTACAAGGCCAGGATGGCAGCTAACCCACAACGGCTCAGGCTTAACTTTCTTGTGCTCCTTCTCCAACTGGGCAGCTTGGACTTTGCCCAGGCCAACAACCAGGCATGCAGCACTCGTCAGCAGCAGTGTCCTCTACAGCCACTGCATCGATTGATGGAAGATCGCCGAAGCGAGATGGATGAATACGACGAACATCTTGTTTATAGACAACCAAGTGAGCGCATCGAAAAGCTTGAGGATCGCAGCAGACAAGACAATCTGCAGACTGAAGGTTCTTATCGGCGAGAGGAGAACGAGCTGTCACGACGGGAGGAGCGTGTACAGTTGGATGCTCGTGATGACCGTCGAAAGGAATTTCAACGGGAGGAACGCACAAATCTCCGAAGAGAAGAACGCGCCGATTTTCGCCAAGAAGAACGTGAAGTTCTCCGAAGAGAAGATCGCGCTGATTTTCGCCAAGATCGTGAAGATCTCCGAAGAAAAGAACGCTCCGATTTTCGCCAAGAAGAACGTGAAGATCTCCAAAGAGAAGAACGCGCCGATTTTCGTCAAGAAGAACGTGAAGACCTCCGAAGAGAAGATCGCGCCGATTTTCATCAAGAAGAACGTGAAGACCTCCGAAGAGAAGATCGCGCCGATTTTCATCAAGAAGAACGGGAACATCTCAGAAGAGAAGATCGCGCCGATTTTGCCCGAGAAGAACGCAATGATCTCCGTAGAGAAGAACACGCCGATTTTCGTCAAGAGCGCGAAGATCTCCGAAGAGAAGAACGCGCCGATTTTCGTCAAGAAGAACGCGGGGATCTACGAAGAGAAGAACGTACCGATTCTCGTCAAGAAGAACGCGAAGCTCTGCGAAGAGATGAACGAGCCGATTTTCGTCAAGTAGAGCGCGATGATATCCGAAGACAAGATCGAAGCAATCTTCGTCAAGAAGTACGAGATGCATCCCGACGACAAGAGCGCGAAGATGAATTTGGTCGACGTGAGGAGCTTGATGATCGTAAAGTACAATATGAAAGCCGGCGTGAGGAACGAGATGTATCTCAAAGACAAGAGCGTGAATATGGGCAATTAAATCGACAAAATGAAAGTTCTTTCCGCCTAGTGCGAGAAGATCTTCAACAGTTAGAAACTCGAGTTGCACAAAGAAACGATCGATCCCTGCGGGAGGAGCGCGAGGCTAATCAACAGATGGACCGCGATGATCGTCGCCGTGAGAAAAGGGTTGGACGTGTCGATACAGAGCGTATGGAAAGGCGAGTGAGTCGGGAGGAGATGCGACGAGTGGAGACTGACCCGATTCGCCAAGAAATTGAACGCCGTGAGAGTAATACCATTGACCTGAAAGTACGACGTACAGATATCTCTCGAAGTGAGGATCCCCGAAAGGAGCAAACCGACGATTTTACACGGCAGGACAGAGTTGAACGTTTGAATACAGAACGTATGGAAAGGCGAGTAAGTCGAGAGGATATGCGGCAGTCGGAACATGATGTAACGCACAGGCAGGATCGGGAAAATCGTGAGCGTAATGTCAACGACATGGAACGCATCCATCTCTCTCGACGTGAAGAACGTGATGATCGCCGTCGGGAGAAGCAAGAAGGTTTTCGACGGGAGGAACGTAATGACCTCCTACGTGAAGAACGAGATGTTTTCCGACGTGAGGAACGAGATGTATTTCGAAGACAGAAGCGAGATGAACGCGATCATGTAAATACTGAGCAACTGGAAAGGCGAATGGATCGAGACGGTATGCGACGGAAGGAAACCGAACTGACGCGAAGGCAGGAAAGAGAAAACAGGTTGGATTCTCGCTATGGTGATGAAATTAATCGGGTTGAAGTTCGAAGGGAAAAGCTATCTCGCCGTGAGGAACGAGACGATCTACGACGTGAGGAACGAGCTGTCTTGTCTCGAAGACAAGATCGTGAAGATAGTGATACTATTCGTCATACTATTTACACAGAAGTGCGGCGAGATGATTTCTCTCCACGTGAGGAGCGTGATGATCGCCGACGGGAGGAACACGACGATCTCCGACACACAAGCCGAGGGCAAGAGCGTGTGGATGTGGAGCAACATGAGGTGCGAGTAAATCGAAGAGAGAATGTGCTGACACGACGACAGGAACGAGATGAGCTCAATAGGTTCGATACTCGTAGCCGTTTAGACATACGACAAGAACAGCTTTCCCGACGTGAAGAACGTGATGATCACAGACGAGAGGATGGAGACGCTAACCGACAGGTGGAACAAGAGGAACGTGTCGACGCGGAACGCACGGAAAGGCGTGTGAGTCGTGAAGCCATGCGACGAATGAAGGACGACCTAGCAGAAACACAGGAACAGGAAAATCGGGAGCGTAATGCAAAGGACATCGAAGCACGGCGCGGCGATCTCTCCCGTCGTGAGCAGCGCGATGATCGCCGACAGGATGAGCGCGACCATCTCCGACGTGAGGAGCGTGACAACCTTCTACGAAGGGAACGTGTGGATGCGGAGCGCATAGAGAGGCGAGATAATCGAGAGGAGAAATATATGACACGAAGGCAGGAACGAGTCAATCGTCAGCCCAATGCCAATGACGAGCAAACCCGGCGCAACCATCTTCGACGCGAAGAGCGTGAAATATCGGAAAGACAAGAGCGGGACGCCGATCTCTCTCGCCAGGGAGGACGCGCTGATCTGCGTCAAAATAGTCTCAACCGAGAACAACGCGTTAGCCTCCGACAAGAGGTGCGTGATAAGCTTATTAGTCGTGAAAATCTGGAAGACAGCAGGCTGAGTGCCCAACGACGACAGGAACGAGACCTTTCTGAACTGTATCTAAAAAAGAATCGGGAAAACAAGAAGCCTAGCATCTGGATAAGCAACAACTACACCAAGCAAGGACTCTTGATAACTGGCCAAGCGCTGATATTGCTAGTGCTGTATTCCAAGTTGACCAGCCATAAGGGACAGCATCTTGGGTAAGCATTCGAGGTCTTACTTACTGATAGAATACTAACATCATTTGTCTTGCTATGCAGAAACCGGCTGGCTGAACATATCCAGGGCTTTCTGCATCCCGTGGAATGTTAAGATACTAAACGAAGGCTTTACGATAAACCTGATATACTGAAACGCATAAAGTACCTAGGCACCCTATGTCCCCCAATACCGTACAACCTAATGAGCAACGAGTTTAAGGCCGAGAGTGGATCTGAGATGTATCTGTAAACGCATTGTACAATTTATTCCAACTGTTACTGAAACTGTAATCTACACTGAACTACAAACAAATATAAGTTATACATAGTTGAGCATATGCAAAGCGAGGAATCTGTTTCAATTTGCCTGCCAGATTTCGCCACCAACCAATGCTCGTTGCCCAAAACCACATCTAATTGGAGCACCGGAGCCCATTGGAGCACAGTCCCTGAAGTCGCCTGCAGCGACAGGCCACTGCAATTGTCCACTTGGCATATTTGGGCACATGCCCGGACCCGGACCCGGCTCCGGCATACCATGCATACGGTATGCGACTACAACTACGAGTATTACCCACTTAAGAGTTAGGAGCCAACCCCCCCCCCTCACATACACACACACACAAACAGAAGGCCGAACTGGAAAATTATTATTGCGATTTTCCATGTCGGTTGCCTTCATCCTTGTGCGCCTTTTGTATGCCAGACAGTATCGTTGTTGATAAATTTCGCACATATTAGATGCTGGAATGGTCCATACATCTTTCGCTCTTCAAAGGATTTCCCCAAGGGTGCCTGACTGACTGCTCGACTGCCTGGCTGCCTGGCTGGCTGGCTGGCATCGTTCCGACAAGCAGCCAGTAAGCCATTCCTAATCAGTGGAACCAGCACAAAATTTTACACAATTTTCTTCTATTGGGGATTATTTCGCATGGTAAATGTGTGTACAGTCAACTTATGGCCAAGCACAGTGTGTGGCAGACAAACAGACGGACAGTCGGTCGGACGGACTTTGCTTGTTTCTGTTTTCAGTCCAGTTGTGCGGATAATTCGTACAGTTATGGCCCAAAATATGTATATGCACATCTACTTATTTGGGAGACGTAGAGACGAAGGCTTGCCCATTTGTACGGCCCTGCAAGGGATTACTAAACAATTTTAAGTGCATAGGTCTGTAATATGGCTTTAAGCCCAATGCAACTTAAAGGTAAGGCTGCAAACCAAAACCAAATTCTGTCAGTAGTTCGATTCATCTAGTTTAAAGACTCCACATCTATGAAGCCAGGTTTTGGTTCAAGTCTTGGCTGTTCATACATCTTTCAAATCCCAATTCATGTTTTTGTATTCCTGCCCGCTCTACTGAAACTATTTCAAGCTTTAAATATTTTCATATGGAAGTTGCGGTCTATATTAGATCTCTATCCAAAATTGGCATCTACCAATTGTGGTTAGTTTAATTAGCAGGATGTGGCTTAAGCTATTTATGCTTTGGTTACGTTCCGAAGCTTTTATATTTGCATAGCGCGCCCCACGTTGGGCGCCATCTTATATAATCGCTTGCATCTCTCGCATATAAGCTCGAAATCGATCGGCATTGCTTCAAATTTGTAGCTCGATTGTTTTGCAGAGCGATAAACTGTGTAAAAGACAATCGATTTACAAATATGAAGTGTGGTGATAAACCATAAATTGTGTGCGTAGCATCAATAAACTTTCATGTGTATCTTAACTATTATGTGGATGAGTATAAAAATTTGAGTTTTACGCCTGTTTATTTACACGTACACACACACACACTCGGGCTGGTTGTAGGTTCAAGGCACACACACACACACACACACACACATGCAGGCAGACAACGGGCGACACTTGCCGGGGCAAGGTTATACGATATTAAAATGCCACAAAAGCGCAATAAACCAACAAGAAAACATCATAAAAAATTGAGTTTTCAATATTTATTCGAATTAAATAATTCACGCGCGTTGGTCTGGGCGCCATCGCTGGGCCAAATGAAAACCGCACAAGCCACACACCGTAAGTGATAGCTGGCGGTGAAAGAGGGGAAGAGTGGGGGGGGGGGGGGGTTTGGGAAAGGCGCGTGTTTACGTGTGGCTAGACTACCGGAAGGGCTCAAGAACTGTACAAAAAAAAAAGGCGCTGGTATTTACGGAGTCCGGGTTCCGTGTGGGGTCGTTTGGGGTTTGTACGTATGCCATTTTACGAGCATTCGAGGTTTATTTCATGCTTTTAACCACACACACATACACAACCAAACACCCACCCACACACAAATTTACACACATAATGCAAAACAACATAAATTTTGTGTCAGAAATCATAAATTTCAATAAAAACAAGAAGGTAATGTTCTATTTTTAGAGCTTCTCAAACTTCGAATACCCTCTCATTTATCCCATATATAAGTATAAAATTATTGGTGAGTGTTGTTAAACGTTGGCACATTAAATTAGACACACGCACCCTTCTACATATTTCCCCATTTACATCTACCAAAATAGTACCTCAATTTGTTACAAGCCCAGTGACAGAATCATCATACCCTGCACCGTTTATAACATAAGCAGCAAAGCGCCAAATAGATACCTGTACTCTTAATGGGCTACTCGCCCAAAAGCTGTGGGTGCAATGCATCAGCGCAGTAGCAGGAAAAAGTGTTGGAAAGCGCTTTTACGTATTGCAGTGCTGGCAGAGTTAACTAAATGCAGCAGTCAGCTGTGTGAGATAGTTTCAGAAGCTAAAGTCGGCCCTGATTGAGTGCGATTGCTAGGCTACGGAGCTGCCGGTCGGGATTCCTAGACCTTAATAAGTTGGGTTAAAGGTATGTTTTTTTATAAAGATTTATTGGAGTTTCTAAAGTAACTTTACGTGAAGAATTAATGTGCTTTATACTGTTCCTTTCTTTGGGCTCAGTTCGTGAAACTGGCTCTCCAGTTTTTGCTTCAAACCTTGATTTGTCGTAAGTTCTTAAAATGTATATAAGACAACTCTTATAAAAATTATAATTATATTTTTATATAAAAGTTGCAGATTGAATTTGACCTCTATACGAAATTGGCATCTGCCAATTATGCTTGGATAAATACAATCGGTATGCTTTGAGTCAAATCATGGACCCCGATTTTCACTGAGAAGGAATGGATTTTTCGAAATGTGTAAGGTATCCCTCTTACGAATTTGAACAAAGATCTTAGAATACTAGTTTCAGGCCGATCAGATGGTAAGCAAAAGTGTTTCATTCTAATGTTTTTCGCCAAATTTTCCGCACTTGCCTCACCAAATAAGGTAACTACAGTCAGTCAGTCAGTCAATGCGTTAGTCAGTTCAGTCAGTTAGTCAGTCAGTTAGTCAGTCAGTCATTCAATCAGTCAGTCAGTCAGTCAGTCATTCAATCAGTCAGTCAGTTCAGTCAGTCAGTCAGTCAGTCAGTCAGTTCAGTCAGTTCAGTCAGTTCAGTCAGTTCAGATAGTCAGTCAGTCAGTCAGTCAGTCAGTCAGTCAGTCAGTCAGTCAGTCAGTCAGTCAGTCAGTCAGTCAGTCAGTCAGTCAGTCAGTCAGTCAGTCAGTCCGTCAGTCAGTCAGTCAGTAAGTCAGTCAGTCAGTCAGTCAGTCAGTCAATCAGTCAGTCAGTCAGTCAGTCAGTCAGTCAGTCATTCAATCAGTCAGTCAGTCAGTCATTCAGTCAGTCAGTAGATTGAGTTACTGACTGACTGAATGACTGACTGACTGACTGATTAAGTTACTGACTGATTGAGTTACTGACTGACTGAGTAAGTCAGTTAATCAGTCAGTTCAGTCAGTCAGTTAGTCAGTCAGTCATTCAATCAGTCAGACACTCAGTCAGTCAGTCAGTAAGTCAGTCAGTCAGTCAGTCAGTCAGTCAGTCAGTCAGTCAGTAACTCAATCAGTCAGTCAGGCAGTCATTCAATCAGTCAGCCAGTCAGTCAGTCAGTCAGTAACTAAATCAGTCAGTCAGTCAGCAACTCAATCAGTCAGTCAGTCAGTAACTCAATCAGTCAGTCAGTCAGTCAGTCAGTCAGTAATTCAGTCAATCAGTCAGTTCAGTCAGTCAGTTTGTCAGTCAGTCATTCAATCAGTCAGTCAGTCAATCAGTCAGTCAGTCAGTCAGTCAGTAACTCAATCAGTCAGTCAGTCAATCAGTCAGTTAGTTAATCAGTCAGTCAGTCAGTCATTCAGACAGTTAATCAGTCAGTAAGTAAGTTGGTCAGTCTGAAAAGTTGTATATATAGATATTAAAGAATGTATGCTAGCACATACCATTTACTATAGGTATATAAAAATCGTAATTGAAATGCTTAGCGACATATTATATTTACAATTTGAGCTTTGCATCGAGAAAAACATATTGCCAGAGTACGCTGAATGGCAAAATGTTAATATGCAAAGCATATGCTTAATGATTTGGGCATCCAATAGGGGTATCGTGCGCCTGGATAGACCCGTGCTCAAAATCCATTGCAAATTGATTGGCAAATACAGCAAATTTTACGCCCGCATCGATGATTGCGACATTGAAGTTGGGGCTCGGGTTGGTTTTGTAGCTGGGAGTCGGGGGTTGGGTGTTTGGATGGAGTGGAGGGAAGTGGGTGTCGCGACATTTGCTCTGATATTTGCTAGCAATTTTCTAAATTATCAATTTCAACGGCAACTGAGCAGCGAGCGAATAAATAAATACATAAATAAAAGAAATACGTGGAAAATGGAAATGGCGCAAAACAGAACTAAAAAAAAAAAAAAACAACATTGTGAAATTGCCAACTGGTAAAATTCGTGAAAATTCATGAAAATTCGGTTCAGAAAACCGCAGCAAATCGAGCAACGACAGCAAAAATTCACCACAAGTTGCCATTAAACGTCAATAGAGCTGAATGCGAAATGGGGCTCAGAAATTGGTAGATTGCATTGGGAGGAGCTAGTGGGTGGTGGGCGGAAGGGTGGATGATAGGACAGTAGAACTCGTAGGCGGAGCTGAGCGGGGAGAGGGGGAGGATGCCATTGAAGCTGCGACGCCCTAAGCGAAATGTGCAGTTAAATAAAAATCAAAGCGGTTTACGTTATCAGCGACGATTTGCCTGAAGGGGGGTCGGCTGGGGGGTTTGGAGGGGGGGTTTGAGGCCAGTTGCGTTCGAATCGAATTTCCAATGCGAACAACTTGCGTTGACAGCGCCAAACGTTTGCATAATCCCCACCCACAAGCAATCAGCCACCCCCCTCCCCCCTCCCCCCTCCTCCAGACAGCAAAGCAACCCGAAACTGAGTTCAGGCCCAAGCAGCCTAACGCCGGCTTG